AAAAAAAAAAAATAAAAAAAATAAATAAAAAACAAGCAGAGGGTTAATATTTTTGAAAACACTGCACTTCGTGTACTTACTGCAACTACTTATGCATGTGAACGAACCTTTTTTTGGCAGAGAAAAATGATCAAGGAGAAAAAAGTCAAGATTTTCGTTTGAAGTCTAGGCTATGAGTCTTGCTTTTTTGAATAGGTAGCTCCTCTCTACGTTGCTAAACTAAACACAATTATAATTTCACAAGGCCGATGTTTATCATTAGTTTCAGACTTTAAGATATTTTTTAAAATACCGTGAATTTTCTCTTCAAATTAAATTGTTTCAAAGCTTAAAGTATACTTTTTTAATTATTGTGATTATACCCATTATCCTAATTGTACATAAATGTTAAAAGTGTGTAGTATAAAATTTTATTAATTTGTATGTACTATGTAGCCTAATCTTGTATAAAAAAGTTATCATTAGGAATACTAAAATATGCTGTTTAGCCTTCTTTTTATGACTTTATACGAAATGTTAATATTTGAATGAAAAATTGTTTTACTTTCATTATTTAATTTTTCAACCATTAAAATAAAATAACTTCCACAAACCTGAAACGCTGCTGGACCATTTGAGAAAGTTCGATTGCCTCTGTTTTGCGCCACAAATTATAACCATCAAATCGCGTTAATTTAGCAATATTTATTGATAAATAATGTTTGTATTCGTTAAATTGATTTATTATTGCACTTATTTCATCATCTACGCCAAGTTTTGAGAGGTCAATAGATTTCTTGAATCTATATAATTCTTCAGTCATAAAAAACCTAGAATAATTTAAAAATAATCATGCTTTTTTTCAGATAAATTTTGTAAGTTATAAATTAAATTTGTAAAAGCTTCCGTTTCATTCAAATGACTAGCATGACATAACTACATAATTTTTAATAACACCATGAAATTTTAGAAAAATTACTTTCAGTCCATTAGGATTTATAAAACTGTAACAATAATTACAAGAACAGAACAAGAAACACTAATGTTGTTATAAACTCTGCTTTATACTTTAAGAGTGATGTAGTATACAAACAGTAATCAAGCCACGTCTATGACAGTACTTATAAATTTTTCTGTATAATATACTATACTATAAATCATAGTTGTTGATCACCAAAGCAGCTATCGAATGACACCGTAGCATAATGAAATACAACGCATGTATATCAGTTCACATAACAGGGATGAAAAAATAATTAAAAAAGAATTCGAACACGAAAGGTAAGGCCTTGTATTAAAAAATTACTTTAGTGCTTTATATTGTCAATAATAATATTAAGAACACTACCAAATTAGGAATATAGGAACGCAATTTTTTTGAAATCAACGAATTATTTTTCTAAATGATTTTTGCAAAAAAATTTTTTAGGCCCCCATAGGCTTAGTAAATTATCTAAGTCTGTTAAAATAAAAATACCAGGGTAGTTTAACCGTCCAAACGTCAATTGTCGATTCTTATTTGTCGTATTAAGCAGTGGCCAGGAAAGAAGTGAGCAAAACACACGATAAAAAGAACTGCATAAACTCTTTATATAAGGTTGGCACTTTATTCGAGAAAAATGATTTGAATTCTTATACTATGGCAGATACTTGTTTTCAGGCACAAAGCAGCTTGCGCACGGCGTGTTTGTCGACACTTTTCTCTAGACAAGTTCTCCTAACGACTTTTACAAACCAGGACCGTTCAACTATAACGTTGGGTGCTGACAGTCTTCTACATCAAGATATGAACTTGCTCTCTACCAAGCATCACACCTATACTCTTATATATTGGTATCTGCCATACATATATAACTATACAATATACATACCTCACTATACATACATATTTCCAACCAATACAAACAAATTAATTTTACTTATACATTCATTGAAATACATTCATTGCCATAAAGCACTCCAACAGGCCCCCTTCATGAATGTAGAAGAAAAGTAAATACAATAGCTTCCATAGTTTCCTTACAACATCCATTTTATTCACAAAATCTTATTAAGCGACTTCAAGAAATGCTAATTGTGGCAGGAAATCAACAAACAAAAATGAAAATGCAAGCAAAAACAAGATACGATAAAAAATTAAAGCCTTCTAATATTAAACCAGGAGATTACGTTTAGGTTAAGAAAGAAGTACGTTCTCATAAATTTGATCGCTACTATAATTAGCCCCTACAAATAAAAACAGTTTTAGAGGGAAATAATGTATTACTTAAAGATAACGATGGTGAAATCATACGGAAACACACAGATAAATTAAAACTAGTTCCCCAATAGTAATAATATCCTTGTAAGAATTATATTCTACATGTCTTTCAGTGAAAAAAAACAACGATGCGGATTATGTTGGCCATCTTAATGACAATGGTGCTTAAAGGTTGCGTAGATTTAAACCATTCTAATCAATGAAACCATTCGATATTGCATTGCACAGTTTGGTTATTTTAATTAAGATAATCCGATTGAAAAATCTGAAAGCAATACTATTGAACATAATAAATACTGTGAGAACCTGTGCGGGAGATATCATTATTCCACCTCCCAGCATACGAGCGAAAAGACTGACGCCTTTTGGAATTGTTGGAAGCATTACTAAAGGACTTTTCGGCTTAGTAACTAAAGACGTTATCAACGTCATGAATACTAATATTCAAAATTTGCATACCGATCAAAAGGAATATATTAAATTGTATGAACAAAATATCCATATTTATGCAGCTGCATTCAAAGACCTGTATAACACTACGAAACGTCATGAGCATATTCTAAAACAAGTTGCTGATATATTGACTCCAGGACAAGATTTTACTCTCGACAGATGTCTGATATATTTATTAATTTACCTTTGAAGAACTAAGGCTATACCGTAGATCATATTATTCGTTTCCATAAAGATCAGATTAATATCTTGCATAATTTATAAAGAGGTCAAGCTATTTTCTCAAAATATATTTAGAATTGTAGCCCAGGATGTACAGAACCCAGCAGGGAATCTAGAATTTTTAGCACGACTCGAGAATCTTTATGCTGGCGAAATAAGCACTCTAAGTAAATTAGATGATGTACATCAAGAAAATAGAACCATGGTGATATTACATTTGCCACTCGTAGAACGAACCTCTTATAATTTTTATAGACTACATCCAGTCATGATACCTCAACCTGGACAAAATGGATCTGCCTACATAAAATCATCGTACCCTCACTTAGCTGCAGCAGCAGACCATAATTCGTATTTACGATGAAACGAAGTTGCATTTAACCATTGTGATAAAACAGTACATGGCTATATAAGCTCAGCTATGGAATCGTTAACAAACAGAAATATTTAAATACTGTAAAATTATGTTTACACTTAAAACCGAAAGTCAGCTGATAGTTTACAGTTATTCTCGACACCTAATAAAGAACAATCAAACATTATCTGTCCCAATAAAATGGATCGACAAAAAAGAGTAAAAGGTACAGATCTTTTACGAATAAATGATAGATGTACAGGGAAAACACACAAACTAACCTTAACCAGTGAACAGAAGATTATCACTCAGATACAATACACCTGTCAAGTAGAAGTGAGCTTGAACTTAACTGTACTACATGAACCCTTTAAAGACACTCATGACGCTATAAAATCGATTCGAGAATTCAACTTTAATAAACAAATATGACAGATGAAGAATTAAATGTACAAAGTATAATAAATCATACGAAGAAAATACGAACCTAAAAGTTGGAGGAAAAACAAACTTCTATAATAAAACTATAATAAAGACACAGAGTTTGAACTCCCACGATATACACCCTGAACATTGGCAATGAAACTCATAAATCAATAGTAATTTGATACTATTTTTCTTCCAGGCTGTACATAAACTCTGACTATAAAATAACAATAAAGACTACATTCAACGTTCATCATCCTTTACATAAAGTTATTAAACAATTGGAGAATAGAGGAAATATCAGGGAAATGCACATACTTCCGAATTTCCATAGTTATACACATCAAACTGCAACCGCCATTTACAATAGTGATTCATTTAATAAAATAACCTGATGAAACACTAAACATAGGAGAGGAAGCTCAGACATTTTCTACTTTTAAAGTAAAATCCACTATTTCTCAAGCAAAATATATTTCTTTACCAATATCACCAAAGAGCGACAATGATATAATAAATATCCATCCAAAAAGACTTATGTGTTCTCTACCGTGGGATATAGAAGAAACGAAAAAGGAAAAAGATTTCTTTAATAATTTCTCTCATTTTGGTACCCTAGAATATTGTTATGCCATCATACATCGGCGAGGAAGATTATCCCAAGGATATGTAAAATTCATGGATCCTAAAAGCGCTATTCTACCATTGCAGAACGATGAACCCAAGTATCGCGCGAAATACGCTGAACCAATTAAAAGGAGTGCAAAATACAAAACAAACAAAAAATTGGCTCATCCATTGTGTCAACATCAAGTTAAGTTAATGACATATCAAAGACATGTCATTACATGCAGAAGGCAACGATGTACACAAACTTTAGAAACAAAGCCAACCATCAATTTACGAGATAAAATCAAAAGTAGCAGAAAATAAACCCAATAATTCAACCCTACCATTTAACCAGCTACATTCTACGTGAAGAAAATACATTGCTTAATTCCGATATTTTTATTTCAATCTTTATATATCTAATGAGCGAATTTGTACTTAGTTAATTATCATAATACTTTTTTTTTGTTGTTCCCTAATTTCACTTTATTGTTTAGTTTAAAAAAAAAAAAAGATGTTTGAGGCCTTAAGGTTAAAATGCATATTGTATTTGATCCCAGTTGCATGTTACTCTATTGTAAAAATTTTTTGTTCTAATATTAAGCTTTACCATGCATTAATATTATTTATTTTACTATATTGTGGATCTGCAAATATTTCGCCATAGTATGGTAAGTAATGATTGTTACCATTCATGTATTCCCTGCCCATCATTCAATCGTTCCGTAAACATAATTTCATTCTTATATTAACAATCCACGTATAACCTATGAATTGTTACAATTATAAACAGCACGAAATACACTACAATAGTACTCATACATATACAGTATCAATCAATAATCATCGTAACACCCATCATACTTATACTTACAAATAACATAAAATGGCTAAGATAATTGACACCATCACCAGTGTATGTTTCCTGAACCTCATGATAAAGGGCTGTATTAACAAACTAGAACTAAAACTGTTGCTACAACGACAGATCAAACGTCAAATAAGCGACAGCTACCTATATATGGACCATTACAGTCTAGATTAGATAAAAATACTGCGACAAAGATGAAGAAAAACATATTCTTCACTTTGTACAAATGAAACGTAGAAATAGGAAAATTCATGTTTTAAAAAAGAAACCTTATAATATTAAATACCTGATGGAGTTCTTCGAATATCCGTACGGTATGCAAGATATTTATTTTTCTAACAAGCTTCAAGACGGAAAAAAAATCAAACCTGCTCATATTAAATAAAGTACGAAATATAAAGCTGAGGTAATGCGTAAGCTAGTTATACATTGTATTACTATCCAACAAATGAAGCCTAACGCCATCGCCAACACAACATCAACCAAAACTACAACGAATATTCCACTAATTTTTGACACTTTAAGCAGTATGACTAGGAAATTACCACCAAGGCTGATGATAAAAGTACCGTTCGTTATTACAACCAACGAGTGGAAAAAATATCTGATGACTTTTGTCTCACTCAATGATTGT